TTTTTTTTTTTTTTGCAGTTTTTGGCCAGGGCTGGGTTTGAACTCGCCACCTCCGGCATATGGGGTCGGCGCCCTACTCCTTTCGGCCACAGGCGCCACCCTAGTTTTTCTATTTTTAGTAAAGACTGGCTCCCACTCTTGCTCAGGCTGGTCCTGAACTCCTGAGCTCAAGCAATCTACCTGTCTCAGCCTCCCAGAGTGTTAAGATTACAGACGTGAGCCACGGTGCCCACCTATACCTGGTTTTTTAATAGGACTACTAGAAAGTTTAAAAATATGTGTGTGGCTTTTGTGGCCTGCATTCTACTCCATCAGGTAGCACCAGTCTAGACACTGAGTGGGCCGTAATGAACTTCTCATCATTCCTTCAACTCAGCAAGCAGACTGTGAGCACCCACAAGGTTCAGAGGGCTCAGTGAGGTCCACCTCTCCATCTGGACCACCTTCAACTTGTAAGGGAGAGCACCATAGGGGCTCATACATCAGCCTGACAAACATGAATGGGAATTGAAATCTGTAGTCACGATCCCCCCAGAAATCCTCGCCAGGCGAGCTCTAGTTTAAGGAGGGGGAAGTCAAAGGTACTTTTGAAAAAATAATATGCCTGGGAATTCCTTTGCAATAGGTAGGTAGCCTCACAGCAGATCTCAAATTCCTGGTTCTACTCTGCACTGTTGGGTGATGCCTGTGGCTCAAAGAGTAGGGTGCCAGCCCCATATACCAGAGGTGGCGGGTTCAAACCCAGCCACCGTCAAAAACTACAAAAAAAAAAATAACCTCTGCACTGTTTAGGAGCCATTCTGCTTGGCATAACTGCCTGCACGGTGTTCCAAAGCCAGACCTAATCCTTCCATTTGTTCTGTTTGGGCCAGATGTGATGCTGGGCTTCAGCCGGTGGAGATTTATCTCCTCCTGACCAGTTGGGAGGTGGTGTGCTGGCATCACCAGGCAGGCAAGATAGGAGCAGAGGGCTCGGCACCTCCTTGTTCTGCTCATACAGGTACCACCTGGAGCTCTAGGGGCCGGCCTGAGGCTGAGAGCTGTCCAATGACCCCATAGACCTTTAAGACCATACCTGTGCCCCCTGCGCCTGCCCCTCTGCCATTGATCTCCTTAAAGAGCCAGCTGAAGGCCACATCAGCATGGGACAGACTGGGAACTGGGGACTGAGAAGGGGTTAAGCATTAGGAGGGAGATGAGAGGCTGGAGCAAAGGAGAAAGTTAAAAATAGGGTTATTCAGCCCAGAGCAAGGAAGACAAGGGCACAGCTAGACTTCACTTCATGACTGATTGGTTTGAGAATGATTCTTGCTTTTCACCCTGCACTGTGAATGGGAAGAGGCTGACCTTCTGCCAGGAGAGACTGGAGTTAGATGTCATCCTGTGTCCTGGGGGGATGGAGATGTCAGAGTAGGGTGGGGACTGGAAATTGAAGCTGAATATGGCCCTATGTCATCTTCTCTTTGCTTGTGAGCCCAGGTTGTCCTGGGGGTCCTGCCTGTCTGGAGATGGGGCTGTGAGCCTGGAGCTTCTAGCTGCCAACGCCCCCAGCCCAGCTTGGTGCTGCCATTTCTTGTTCTGATCTGCCGGTCCTTTCACTTCCCTGCCCCCACCTCCTTCCTCTTCTCTTTCCCTGAACAAGCAGGGGTTCCAGAGCCAGATCAAGCCGCCAAAGGTCTTTCCTCCAGGCCCAAGGCATGGTAGAGGGGAAGTCCAGAATAACAAAGTTTCCTGGCTCAAACTCGGGCCTCAGCTGGGGCAAGGCCAAGATAGGAGAGGAACAGATTCCCAGCTGGCTGCCTGCCTGGTGCACTGGGACAGGGCAGGATAATGGTTTTGTCCAGTGTTTTGGACTCTCTTGGAAGGTGAGGAGAGAGGCTTCTCTGCTTCATCCATAAAAGGGAAGTTGGGTTTCCTGCCTTTGATGAAATGCTTTCCAACTCACGTTCTGCTTTGCAGAGGAGGGGCACAGTCGTCTCTGCTGGGAGAGCCTAGCGGAAGTGCTGGGCCTCCGCCTAGTGAGGCCTGTTTCCTCACTGTGAGTGGACACCTCTTTCTCCCAGAGCCATCCTGGGTGCTTCCTTCCTGCTCAGTACTAATGCTCCCTCCCTTCAGGACCAGAGGGGACAGGCAGGGGACATGAAACACACTCATCATTCACAAAGGAAAGACATGAGGCTGGTGTGAGCTCCATGGAAGCCCCAGAATGTGATCTTTAATTGATGCTCCTGGACCTGCCTCCCTGTCCCCCCCAGCCCAGATAACATTATGTACAGGATGTGGTGTGGCACCAGGTCTGGGCCCAGGCAATGCAGCCTCCACTCCTCCCCAGGCACCACCAGGGTGGGCACTTGCCAGGGTGAGGCAAGAGGATGCAGACAGCTGGGAGCCAGGGTGGTCTGATCTGGTCACAGAAGTCTTATGTCCTCCACACCCCCATCCCCCTGTATGTAGGCACACACAGACACATCCACCTATGCACAGGTGTTCACTGTGCAGAGATGTGGATTCAAATGCTTGTCCGCAGATGCACTGCCACCTGTGTGCACACGTGTGACACCAAAGGACGGATGCCTTAAGGTAGTGCATCAATAGTGCAAAACCCAGTGGCTGCCCCTCTCAGCTGGTGGGACTGGTACAGCAGGGCTGGCCCCACATAGCCCTCACGTGGACAGTACCAGCTGGCGCTCAGGGAGAGGGCCCACTGTCACCAGGTGCATCTAGCCACCCAGAAGAACCAGTGGGTCCCAGGCCCCAGCCTGACCCTGAGGGTGATGCAGATAAACAGGGAGCCATTAGCCATTTCCTCCATAACCTCCTCAAAGATGTCCCAGTAACAAAGGGACTCAAAACAGGCAGCTCAATGGTCCCCAGAATGTTCAGAACCCCCTGCCAAGTCTGGGCGGGGTATCCCTGAGGACAGGGACTCCATCCATTTGTGGCTTTCATCCACAGGCTGGTCCCCCATCTTGCTCCTGCCAGCTAGCTTTTACAGTCAAGGAGCCAGAGCTCCCCCATCCCAAGCAAAGGTCATGAGGGAAGGCCATGGGCAGGACTTTTGGGGGGAGGACTGAGGAATTCTGCCTGGTTTGGCCTGTCTCTCAAGCTCAGTCAGCTGCAGCAAGGATCAGAGGACATAATGTGGAAAACATCTGTAAACTTACTACTCAGTCCTAGAATGGGGTTAGGGAGTGGAATGGGTTGGATGGGGCTTTGAGAACTTTTCTGGAAGCCTAGGAGACCTGCCCCTTCCTACCTCCTCTTGTACATCCCAGGAAGAGCCCCTAACCCTTTAGGCACTGGGCCACCTCTGGCTTTCCCTACTTGGGAGAGTCCTCCCTGGAAAGATGGCCCAGCCTGAGACTTCTAGGCCACACCAGGGGTACCTAAACCCTGAGTCAGCCCCAGAATCACCCTTCTTAAAAGGGGAAAGGTGCCATTATATTTCAGGGACTATATTTTCTAGACCCCACCCCACCCCAAATACATGGGTCCTGGCAAGGACAATGGGACAGGTGTTTTGGAATTGAAGACAATCTGGGACGTGTGGTTGCTGTGCCCATAAGCTAGGCCTTGGGCACGGCACAGGCAGCTTTGGTTTGAATCAGCACTCAGTACTTCCTCTGGGCTCAGCAGGGCTGGGTGGAAGGAGAAAATGGGGATACCCAGCCCCTGCCTGTGCTCAGTGACAGGACACCAGGTGTGGTCATCCTGGGGTGGGGGCACCCAGGGGATGGCCACATCTCAGCTCCTCTGGGCCCTCCTGCAAATGTCAAAACATCCCCGAAATTTCCCTGGCCCCAGCACCCCCAAGGTTACATTCATCAGTAAAGATTCAGTTTTAAAAAATGTAGATGTCAGCCCCTTCCCCCTAAGTCCCAGAGAGCTAGGACCTTGGTCCCAGCTGCTTGGTTTTAAGGAGGGGCCATCCCAGGCATGTCCACTGGTGGCTGCCTGGGGGCATCCCTCCGGGCCCCCCCAACTTGAACTGTGACAATTTGTGATGATGGAAGCTACATTCACACAGGGAGAATAAGTGTGCAAGGCCAAAGCCGCATGAGGAGGGTGGGGGACCAGAGAGGAAGTGCCCTCCAGGCTTGGTCCACTCTGGTAGTTTGATGGGCAGGGTCACAGCCCCCACCCAAACCCCTGTGGAGCCAGGAGTTGAAGGGTTTGGACCTGGAAGACATTTGCTTGGTGCCTCCCTCCGTGGCTGGATGGGGGCAGCCTCGTGGATCAGGGCCGAGACGGTGGGTGCCAGGCTCGGAGGGAGGGGGTGGCACTTAAGCCCCTCCGGACCTGGAACGAAGAGGGGGCATCAGAGGAGGACAAGAGATGGGGCCCAGAGGGAGTCTTCCAACTAGGCCCAGGTTGGTGGGGGGCAGGGGTCAGTGTTGGGCCCTGGAGACAGCAAGTCACAGGCTAGCCAGGGAGGGGATCTGGCGGAAGGTCAGACAGTGGTGATATGGAAGACAAAACAGATGGGACGCAGAAGGAACCTTCCTTCCCAGGGGATGGGGACTTCAGGGTTACAGCTCCAGGGGCCACCTGGCCAGGGGCGGGTAGGCTGTAGGAAGGCGGCATAGATGGAGCGTGGCCTGAGAGGAGGGCGATTGCTGGCTGAGGGGCGGAGGACTTCCTTCCCAGAGTGAGGTTCCCCAACCCTTGGTTTGAAGGAGGCAGCAGGGCTGGGGGATCAGCCCCCAGCTCCCCATCAACAGATTACAGGGTGACGAATGAGATGGAGGAGACAAGGACAGCGGGAGGGATGACGTGGCCGGCGTCACACTGCCCCCTGCTGGGTCGGATCGTACCTTCCTCGGCGGATGTTTCTTCAGGAGCCAAAGAGAGGCCAGGCAGAGAGAGAAAGGAAAAGGAGCTGTTTGACTTTCCCCTCTGTTTGGGGGGACCTTCCAGCTCCTATAAGACACCCTACTCCACAGTGGGGGAAGGGTCCCCTGGGCCTGGACAGTAATGACAGGACCAGGAAAAGATATCAAGGACATCTATCAAAAATGGGTCAGGGATTCAAGTATTGGCTCTGCCACTAACTTACTGTATGACCCTGGGTCTCAGGTCCCTCTTTTGCACATTGAGGGGGTCGGATCAAGGACACTAAATTTAGATGCCCATGGAGCATCACAGGCTGGGAGGGAACTGGAGGACAGTCCCTGCCCAGCTCCACTTTGTGGCCAAGTGGACCTATGTAAGACCCACTGGGACCCAACCTTCTCATTTTTCAAGGGAACCTGGAAATCATAATTGTTAACATAAAATCTTCTGTTTTTTTTGGAGACAATCTCAAGCTGTCGCCTTTGGTAGAGTGCAGTGGTGTCATAGCTCACAGCAACCTCAAATTCTTGGGCTTAAGCGATTCTCTTGCCTCAGCCTCCCAAGTAGCTGGGACTACAGGCACCTGCCACAACGCCTGGATAATTTTTGTTGTTGTTGTTGCAGTTGTCATTGCTGGTTTTGCTGACCTGGGCCGGGTTCAAACCTGCCAGCCTGGGTGTATGTGGCCAGCGCCCTACCACTGAGCTACAGGCATCGCCCAAATCTCCTGATTTTTAAATGTTAAAACAGGTCCCTGTGTGCTGTCCTGGGCCTGTGACATGTGAGCTCTGGCTTAGCTAACCTTTCAGGCAGGCCCCTCAGCTCCAGCAGTTAGGGGTTCTGATCCCCTGAGGGCCCGGGGTGGAGGATGTATGTATGTGTGTGTGTTTCTTACTTAAATCCCCAGCCCGTGCCTCCCAGGACGATGGCTGCAACCAGGACAGCCCCAGCGATGGAGCCAATGATGATGTTGGTGCCACTGGGACCTGGGGAGGAGGGCAGGGCTTGGTTGGCAGGGACAGGCATGGAGAATGTGAAAGACAGACCCAACCTGGCCAGCTCCAGCCTCACCCTTATATTTCTCCGTCTCTCCTGTGGGCGGGGACGTGGGCAGGGGGTTGTGGATGCTGCAATCTTTGCCTGTCCAGTCTGGTTGGCAGATGCACTTCCCTTCATTGCTGCAGACCTAGAGGTAGGGCAGTGCCAGCAGCAGTGAGCAAGGGTCTATCCCCCCTTATAAGCCTCTTCCACTGTCCCTGGCCTCTAGGCACCCACCCCGTGGTGGGAACATATCCGGCGCTCCCCGCTGCCAGGGCAGGTGCTGAAGTTGAAGGCAGAGGCTGGCAGGCAGCGGTGGTCCAGGCACAGCATGTTGGGCCCACAGGCTGTGCCATCCTCCACATAGCTCAGGTCAGAGCCGTCGGCCAGTTGCACATGGCCTCCCCTGCAGAACAGCACAGCCCGCCTCAGCCCCGGCCCCTAACTCCCATCATGGCAGCAACGTCCCACCCCCAGCCATGGTTCCAGTCAACACCTGCAGTCCAGCTCTTTGCCCTGGTGGTAGAAGGTGACACTGCTGATGTCTCCCCCTAGGTCGCCCAGCCGAGGAGCTCCAGAGATGTTGACACAGAGAAGAAAGCCACAGAGCACGTCCCTGTTGGGGTATGTGGAGACAGTGAGCCCTAAGTCTGACCTCAGATTCAACTACTGAGCTCTAATCTGCCCTAACCCTGTCATCTGATTTGTCACATATTCTCTCACTGGGACTCACAGGCTCCTCCTAGGTGAACCTGCTGCCCCAGAGCTGGGAAGGCCCCATGGGAACTTTGGCTACTCACTGCTTATTGCACTGGACCCAGCCTGATCCTTTGCGCCCACAGTTTCCACGCTCTGTCCCCTCCACATTCAGCTTCTCATAGCAAAAGCGATCAGCAGCCTCTGTGGGGAGATGGTGCTTGTTGTCACCCTACCGACCCTAGGACCTCAGGCCTGCACTTCCAATATTCTGGTTGGATCCCTAATCTGGCTGGTTGCCTGAGATCCTAAGGAGCCACAATTTGATGGGGGTGGGAGGCTACTCAGCTGGAACCTGTCCCTCCCCAGCCTCTTGATTCTGGGTCCTCCAGAGTCCCCTCCCCCATCCCTAGCCAGACTCACGGTGGCCCCAAAGGGCCTGGCACTGCCGGTCCCGGGTTTTGCAGCGGCCTCCATAGCAACGGCCCTGAAAGACCAACAAACAGGAGACAAGAAACAGAGACACTTAGGGATCAAAGTGGAGACAAGAGACTGCACTGAGCCCAGAGAGGGGAGGCCCTCCAGCCATCATACCTGTTCGTGATCACAGTAGTAACCATCCAGCTTGTGCAGATTAGGGGGACACTGTGGAGAGAGGCATATGGCTGAGCTGAGTGGTCCTGGGATTGGGAGCTGAAGCCTGTCTCAGGGAGGTGCCAAATGCCCCTCATGTCGGGGTACACATTGCAGGGCTCTTCCGCATCAAGGACAAGGGCACTCAGATTCCCACACCCAAAACTGTGCCTGCCTCCCTCAGTTTCCTGCACCTTCCTGGAAGGGCTGGGAGAACTAAATGCCTGGCACATAATAGATGTTAACTAGTTTTATTATCTGCTTTGATCCCTGGCACGTGTCTGGTGCTGCAGCAGGTGCTTGGGATTCTATGAATACTGGTTTAATGATTGAAGGAACAAAGCCAGGGGGCATAAGAACCCCTTTCTCAGATAAGGAAACTGAGTCCAGTGGGGACGTCGCCAGCTGAGTGGAAGGGCGAGGAGTGTAATCGCAAGGCAGTGTGAAACCAATAGGGGCAGGGCGCCTGGCCCAGGCCCGCAGGACTGCCCGGCTAGGCGAACCTGGCTCGAGTCCCCAGTGCAGGTCTCTGCGATGTCGCACTCGTTCACGGCCTCTCGGCAGGACACACCCCGTGGCTCGTACTAGGGAAGGGATACGTTTCCTAGCTTAGGTAGGATAGATGCTTCGGCCCTGAGCTCCTCTGGGATCCCGCGCACTCCCAGTGACTGGTCCCTAGACTAGTGTTTCCTTCTGGGGGCCCCACCAACACCTCTGGGCTGCTTCCTGCCCCTCTCCGCTACCACCCAATTCCTGAAAGGCCCGCCCAGGTTTACGCCCCACTCGTCATTTCTTGGCAAGCTCCCAGCCCGTCGTAGCCCTGCCTCCAATATCCCACGTGCACCTAAGCCCCGCCCCTACATTCCATTGGCTCGTTCTCCTCACCAAGTCCCGCCCTCATATTGTCCTGCCCCAAGACTCCTCCTCGCTCCCTAACTCCCGCCCCTTCGCTGCGAGTTTCCAATCTGCCCTCCTTTGTCTGGGCCCCGCCTCCTCCTGGTCTCCAGGCGCGTCTCCTCACCTTGCAGCGGCGACAACAGAGCCCATCGCTGCACATGGCGTCGTGTGTCAGGGTGCATTTCTTGCAGCAGTTGCCACCCGCGCGGCTGCACTCCTGGGGATGCGGAAGAAGAGGAGAGAGGCAGGCGAGTCCTTATCCTCCCCGTTCCTGCCTCGTGCGCATTCCGCGTCCTGGCTCCGCACCTGGTGCCCGCATTAGCAGCTCACCTGCACTGAACCGCAGTCACACTCCTCTCCTGCCTCCACGAAGCCGTTCCCGCACTCAGGGGGGTCCAGGAGCTGGACCAGGAGGGCATGTCGGGAGTCTGGCCAGGACACTGCCCAAGCCCCGCTCCCATATTCCCCGCCCTGGGCTGGTACCTTAAGGGGTTTGTTAAAGAGGCAGCTCCCGCCGCCCTCCTGCAGAAACTGATTGTACTCGTCGATGCTGCAGCGCGAGAACTTGCGGGGAAGGTAGAACCTAGGCAGGGACGAGGGGACCGTGCTTCTGGGTCCTCTCCTCTCGCCCCTTCTCAAGATTGGGGAGGGAGCGCACTGGGGACTCGGTCACCACCTCGAGGAGGCTGAGGATCTGCCCCGGGACTACACGAGAATCCTCCTACTTGCCCATCAAGGAATGGGCAGAGGAGGGCGCTAGCGTGTGGAACCTCAGGACTCCGAGAGGGCTGGAGAGCCCAAGAAGGAAGGTGCCTCCAAACGAGTCTTGGGCGGCGCCTAGTGGCGACAGTGAGCATTACAGTGTAACCAGTTTGGGCGTCCCTGAAGGAGAATCTGGGTCTCCCTGGGCCTCTTGAGGCCGCTGGGTCCAGACTGCCATCCAGTGCTTGCTCTAGGGCTCCCCTCGCCCAAGACCCTACCCCCAGTTTGTCCCCAAGAACTCACCCAGTGTCCTCCATGATGCAACCCAGCCAAATGTCCGGACACTTGCAGTCTCCTGAAGGGTGAGCCAGGTGGCTATAAGGGAGGGCCAAGTACCACTGCCCCATACTTACACCCTCTTCATTCTAGAGATGTTGGGTGTGGGTCTGGGCTGGTTGTGGGGCCCCACTGGGGTCCCCAAGGATCAATACCTGCCGAACTCCGATGTTTGTTCCACATCATGCCCAGGTTCTGCCCCAGTGTCTGGGCCAGGGTCACTGCCATAGCCCCCATATTGCCATACTGAGAATGAGGAAGATGGAAGACAAAGGTGTCTACATCCTTCCAACAGGGCCTTTCAGCCCCTGCCCCAGCCACGTCCCCTCACTGCTCACCTCATTCACACCGCCACCCCGAGAGAGTGAGCATATGCCCCCCACATAGGCTGCTCCACTGCTGGTGCTCTGGAAAGTCCTGCCCCTGGAAGGGAGGGGTTGTCAGGGCAACCTTCTGCCCTCCCTTCCCATGGTGGCTCCCCTGGGCTGAAAGAGGGTTCTGGGGGAGCCCCTGACACTGCAGTCTTTCCTTGGGGGGTAAGACTAGCCTTGCCCTTCACAGCAACCTGTATGACCTCAGGCAAGCCCCTCCCCCTCTTTGAGTTCCTTTACCCATAAGCCAACAGAGGTTCCTATGTGATAATCTCTAGTTGCAAGGCCCTTTAATTAGATTTTTCCCTCTGTTAGGGCACTGGGTTCCTGAGAAAGGGATGTTTGGTACAATGTGAAAGGGGAAAGATAGAAGAGGAGGTGAGGGGCAGAAGAGGACCACCAGGGCCAAGGCAAAGGGCATCAGCCTAAGATGCAGGGGAGGGTGCATATGACTGGCAGCAGGGAGCAGGTACCTGCTGATGCAAGGTGAGCCCAGACCCCAGACTGAGAAAAGCACCTGGCACAGGGCAGGGGCTAAGTAACCCTAAGCACTGAAGCAACTAGCAAAGGCTGGCATGGTGTGTGTGGCATGGGGGACTTACGAGAAGAGGTGGGTGGCATCACTAGGCTCAGGCAGACCCTCCCGCCGGTAGACCATGAGCCGGGCCAGGGTCTCCAGGAGGTCATCCTGCACCTGGATCTTGTCCCCATCTGCCCATGTTTCCATGGCAACCAGCACAATGCGGGTGTTGAGCTGTTCCTTGTACATCTGGGCACAGGGGAGAGATGAGGGGACTGGGGGGTGGGAGTGGGTATGAGGGGACAGGACTGCAGGAGGGCCTCAGTCAGCCTTCCAAGAAGTAGGGGCCAGGGGCTGACAGTGCTCTTACATGTGTATGGTGGGGTGGGTCACATGAAGGAGAGGGAAGGGAGAGAGGGCTGCTTACCACATCAGCCAGGTTTACTACAGACTTGGCAAAGTTGCTGGTGAGGACCACTGACTGTCGCATCTGCTCAAACTGGGAGCAAGAGTGAGAAGGGGTGGTGCCTGTGGCTCAAAAGGGTAGGGCACCAGCCCCATATGCTGGACGTGGTAGGTTCAAACCCAGCCCCAGCCAAAAAAACAAGAAGAGTGAGAGGAAGATAATGATTTTTTTTTTTTTTTTTGCAGTTTTTGGCCGGGGCCAGGTTTGAACCTGTCACCTCTGGTATATAGGGCCGGCTGCCTACTCCTTGAGTCACAGGCAGTGCCTCAGATGATGATATTTTTGGGCCCCTTCTCCCAGTGTCCCCCCAGCCTGGGAACTCACCAGCTGGTGGTCATTGATCACGATCAGCTCCACATACTTGGTTTCACTGTGCACCGTAGGGTGGCCCCTGCGGACCTAGGGGGTGGGTAGGCACTTGGAATCAGTCCCCTCCATGTCTAACCTCATGGCCAAACCAGGGACAGACTCCGGGAAAGATTGGGGGGATCTCAGCACCAGCCAGGAGCAGTGCCAGCCCCCCACTGGCAGAGAGTCCCCTCCATCCCCAGCTCTGGAATGAGGGTAGGCAGCCTTGGTTTGCTATGATGGGGACCTGCGTAGATACCAGTGGGGAGCTCTTCCTAGAGGTGGCTCCCAGACAGAACAGTCTGAGCCCTCCTTTGCCCTAGCCAAGGATGGGGGTGTCCTGCTCTGGACCATGACATGAGGTCTGCACAGCTCCAGGTCTGTGCGGGCCCGGGCCCCCGTACCTGCCTTTTCCTTCTCAGCCTTGGCCGGTTTGGAGGAGCAGACTGGGCAGGGGCAGTGAAGAGGCAGCCTGTGGGGAGGGGACAGGTGAGGAGGGCACAGCCTCCCCCCCTACCCAGTCCCAGTCCTGCTTTCCCTCCCTTACCTGGTTCCCTGCATCCAAGAGGGGCTGGGAGGAGAGGGGTCCGGTAAATGAGGTGGGGAAGGGGTCCCTGCAATGAGGGAGAATTAGTTCTTGGGGGCCCAACCAGGTCTGTTCTGGGCCCAGTTAGGGGGATAGTTCCAGCCCTTCCTCCCACCCCACCCTAGGGTGACCCAGAACTGGCCAGAGCTCCCATGTCGGATCTGATCTCCCAGATGCTCAGATTCCGGGGTCAAGGCCTGGGGGCGCCCTGAGAGACAGGGGCAAAGGACATTGGAGCCCAATGAGAGGTCACTTGGGGGACAGAGGGGACATTGGAGCTGTGGGCACAGAGAAGGCAACCAGAGCTGGGGTCACTGAGGAGGGCAGTGAGGCTGGGATTACTGAGGGAGGAAGAGGAGAAGATGGCAGCAACAGCTGTTGGGACAAGCATGACAAGGCTTTGGAGGGACAGGCAGGGCCTGTGCAGGGCTTACCTGGGGCGGTCCCCAAGGCCCAGCCATCTCTTGGGGCTCCACGATGTAAGTCAAGTTCCCGTCAGAGAAGACCCCACTGTGGAGAGAGAGGTGTAGCTCTCTACTGTTCCCAGGCCCATGTAGGGAGCCTGTCCCTGCTGCCTAGCCCTCCGCATACTCACTGCAGCCCCTGGCAGGTGGAGAGGGCGGCAAAGGAGTGCGGGTTTCCTCGGAGCTTGCCTTGGTAGTAGCAGTGGTCTCCAGCTCCCTGGAGGAGAGAACAGTGAGGAGGGCATGCTCCTGGCCCAGCACGAGGCAGGAAGATAGCCAGAGCCACTGAGCTGCCCTTTGGGTAGGTGGCCACAGTCCCTGGGTACAACTGGGGCTCTGGAGCCTGATTCTACACTGGTGGTGCTCCTAATTTCCTGTGTCACCTGGGCAAATTCCAAGCCCTCTTTGGGCTTCCTTCACTTCACCTATAAAGTGAGGACATTGGACTATACCAGTGGTTCTTAGCCACTTGCTGGGGCTGGTAAAGAGACCACAGACTCCTTGGAGAGTAACAGCTAACACTTAACACCTACTATGTGCCAGGCACAGCTCTAAACAGTTACCACATACTATCTCATTTAATTGGATGATTGCTGTGGACTCACTCCTGACACACAGTCTCACATGCTGTCTCCTGGACACCCCTGAATCTGTGGTCTGTGCTGAGAAGTCTGAGCACTTTGTGTCCTCCTGGCTGGGCTTATGGGGCAGAGGGGACCAGCAGCGCCCTCCTTCCCCAACTCTGCTTCCTGCAGAATTACTTGTGCTCCAGTTACTGAACAGGCTGGTGGTGGGGGGTGCTATTTATAGACACTTATTCATCTTTGTTCAGGCTCCAGCCTTCAGGGGCTGGACCCTGGTGTCCCAGGCTGCTGGGAATTCTGGGGTCTTGGTACTGAACAAGAGGTCACATTTCCTCAACTGCCCTTCCCAGAAGAGTCTTTGGAGGGGGTGGTTCTGGTAGTGGACATGGAACAATGAGGGTCCTTGTGTGCCCTCTCTAAAGCAGGATGGCTGACTGGGAATGAGACCTCCAGGCTGGGCAAGGAGTTCAGGGCCCCACACTATTCAGCCAGACACTGCCAACACTTGAGGCCTCCCAGGTAGGGAGAGGTGGGAGGTCTCGAGGGGCCAGGCCCATGCTGAGTAGAACCCTGATCCTGTCTCCATGGTCACCTGTTCCTATATCACTGACCACAGAAACAGCACCTCCATCCCACCTTCCCCCCTTCCAAAGGCACTCACAGTGCTGTGTTGTGTTGGCCCCTCCCGGCTGAAGTGACGCTCCACGTATTGTGAGGAGAGCAGGTGACTGAAACCAAGTGGGAAGGAAGAAGGAGGGGGTCATGGAAGCTAGGTCAGGCTTGAGTCCTTCCCCAGCTCAGGATCCAGGTCCCCCTGGCCTGGCCATCCTCCCCAACCCTCTTCCCATACAAGGCATGCTCTGCCCACCCCACCTGCTGCCCTTCTTCTTGGGCTCAAGGCCACACTCACTGGTTCAGCTCCAGGTCCAGGGTGAAGTTTGAGTTGAAGGCTGGGATGACGAAGCTCACCTGGGCCAGATGGACAGGCTGGCATGGAGGAGAGCAGAGGGGGAATCAATCTGGGCATGTCTGATGGTGGGAGTCAGGGGAACTCCAGAACAGGGAGTGGCCCCAGGGAGGGGTTGACCCCAGCCCTAGTAGCTCAGGAGACCATTGATTTTGGGGCAAAACACTCTGCAAAAGCTCCTCTTCCTCCAGACCCTGCTCTTTCACTGGGTAGCAGGGGCAGGAGGCTCATCCCTGGGCTCAGCCCATGCTCTGGGCCAGCTCAGACTGCCCTTGCCACATCACACCCAGCCACCCTCAGGTAGGATAAAGGGAGGCCCAGAGTGTCAATGGGAAGGGGCCAAGGGCCTGATGCAATGGGGTTGCAAACAGGAGCTGGGAAGCACATCCTTACCCTGGCCCCAGCATCAAATGATATAGAAGGTCCCAGATCTCACAGATAGGGCTGGGGCCCTGGAAGCTGGGGTGATGGGCAGCTGCCATCCTGTCAGGGCAAAGGGTTTGGCTCCTCTACCCCCAAATCCATTGCCCTCTGCCTTGCCCAAAGCAGCTCATCTTTAATATTTCAATTCCATGGTTAATTTTTAAACACGGAAGTTTTCCTGATAAATTTTTCAGAGGGGCCTGTGCAGTGGGGTTGGGAGGCTCCAGGTCACCATGGCAACGCACCAGGCCTGAACAGGATGGCTGCCCTCCCAGGCCTGGTGCTCCTGTGAGGGACAGAACTTCAGCATCGAGGGGACCTACGTCACAACAGCCCTAGGGCTCCCACACCTGGAGGTTCCCTCATCCCATCCTAAGTTGGAGTACCTGACCTCAGACCTCCCAAAAGATCTGGAGGCTCAGGAAAGGCAGAGAGAATGAAGAGCAGGCACCTTCTTCCCCACCCCATTTGTATAAGAATACTGACCTCCAGACACCCAGATGAGGGTCACCCCACTCTGCCCTGCAGAGGACTTTTGTTCACTGTCTTGCTTTTGTCGGGGGGTGAGTGCGACAGAGTGCAGGAAGGAAGGGAGCCCCATGTCCATGTTACGAAATCCCAAAGCCTGATGATGCCTGGTCGGCCTGCTTACCCACCACTTAATCCTTACTAATCTTTACTGAGCGCTTCTTATGGGCCAGGCACTGGTCTAAACCCTGTGCAAGTATTATCATATTTGATCTTCACAACACTCCTATGGGAGAGATGCTACTGTCATTCCTGCCTGACAGATGAGGAAACTGAGGCACAGGAAAGGCTAACTAAATTGCCCAAGGTCACACAGATATAAAGTGGCAGAAGTGGAATTCAAACTAAGGAATCTGCTTCCAGGACCCTCTTGCCCCCAAGATGAGGCAAGATGGAAATGGAAATGGGCCCAGTGTCCATGGGAGAGGGGCAAGGTGGGGCAAAGGGCCAGAGCTCAGGCAGGCAGACCTCTGAGCCCCAAGGACACTGACTCACCCCATCCCAGGCTGACCAAGGCTCCCAGCTCCATCCTGAGCCCCTACAGCATCGATCAGACTCGAAATAGAAAGTCAAGGACAAGGAGTCACTGCTTCCTTCTCCCCAGCCCTTGGTCTAGACCATCTCTGCCCTCTCCCTACTCTGGGCCTGCATAGCTCTACTTTCACCTCTACTCTGCCACACCTGGGTCACCCCTGTCCTCCCCTCCCTTCAGGGCCCTTCCTACTTTGTCCACCCCCACCCACAAGGCCCTTTCCCAGCCTGCTCAGGCCCCTTACCCTGGCTCAGCTCTCACTATATAGCCTCAGGGGTGACCCAGCATCCTCACTAAGCCTTAGATTTTCCTGCTGGAAACCGTAAGATGAGCCCAGATGAGAGGCTGGGAGGTTGGCTGGTGTGGTGAAGACTCATTCTGGGCCTGGAGGATTCCAGGAGTCTGCTCTGGCACCAACAGACTCTCCTGACTTGGGAATTCAATGAGTAACCCTCAGGCCTCTTCCCCAAAACTTGGGGAAAACTCAGACTGCTGGGGGAGCAGTGTCAGATGCCCTAGGACCCACTTTGCAGTCCAGAGAGCCCTTACTCACCCTGTCCCCAGCAGGATACAGGCCTCAGGCCAGATAAGACCCTGGGGGGCAGTGCAAGAGCAGCTGCAGGGTTGGGGGGCTGACAGGGGCAGGGAGGGGGGTGGCCATGGAGCCCCCCAAAAGGTAGTGGGGGAAGGAGAGAGAAGCCACACACTGAGGTACATTGCTTGCCTTGGCCTGAAGGGGAGACACGGCCCTGTCTCTTCTAAGGGAGGGTCAGGCAAGGTTATCTCGGTCCCCAGGACCTCTGCATACTAGGTACCTGTGGAGGGGCTCCTGCTGGCACAGAGTGCCCAGACCCCCAGCCAAGCTTTAGACCAATGTTCTGTCAAAGCCGAGCTGCTCTCTTTGCCTGGCCCTGCCCTGCCCTCACCCTGTTATCCCTCTGTCCCTCTGTCCTGCCAGTCCTCCAGCCGACCCTGCATTGGCCTCTTGCTTCCCTGCTCCAGGGCTCTCACGTGCTCCAGCTCATTTTATCTCAACCTGGCCAGGCCGTCTGGTCCTCATTTTACAAATGCCAAGCTGAGGCTCAGAGAGAGACACCTGGAGGCGACTGGCCCGGGGTCATGGCTGGACACTGGAGAAGAGTGGGACTGAGTCTCAACCTCAGTCTGGAGTTCGTGTTGCCATGGTAGCTATGGCCACCTAGCAGGGGTGACCGCCCCTCTACAGGAGGCTCCTCTATCACTAGCTTGGCCACCCTCCCAGGCAGCTGGTTCAGGAAGACCATGCCTCATCCTCTCTGAAACCCTTTCAAGCCTGATCAGACACAGGGTGCAAAGAGAAGGAGGCAAAGATTCTGCTGAAGTCTCAGAATCACAAATGCAGACACCAAGCCTTTGCCCTGGACCTACAGAGTCACAGTCTTGGGAAGTGGGGACTAAAGAGCTTTAGGATTCCCAACTGCCCCATAAAATACAAGCATGCAGGACATTATTCCCCACAACCTCTGGGCCCCACCCCTCAAATACTACCCCTGAATTTCTGTGCCTGGACCTCCATCTACTCCCACAACCCTTGTCTGTGAAGCCTGCACCTGCCAATCCATACAGGCCTTTCGCCCCCCTCCACCTCTGGGCCTTTAAGACATATATAGGTCTTGACATGTATGCCTTTGATCACTGATTTGTCTTTTCATGTGGGTGACCTCTAGTCTCTTAGGACAAGGGCTATGCCTGACTTTTTCTTTGCCCTTGCTCATGTTGAATGGAAAGGCATCACAAGGCCTGAGTGAGCTGCTTCACTCCTTCAGCCTCAGTTTCTCCATTGGTAAAATGGTGGTGTTGTAAGGATTTTAAAAAAGCCCCCCTTTTTGAGACAGGGTCTTGCTCACTAGAATGCTGTGACATCACCATAGCTCACAGCAACCTCAAATTCCTGGGCTCAAGCCACACTCCTGCCGCAGCCTCCCTCGTAGCTGGGGTTATAGGAGCCAACCACCATGTCAGCCTAATTTTTCTATTTTTAGTAGAGACAGGGTCTTGCTCTTGCTCAGGCTGGTCTCCAACTCCTGATCTCAAGCAATCATCTCACCTCAGCCTCCCAGAGTATTAAGGTTACAGGCATGAGCCACCGCACCAGGCCTTAAAGCCCTTTTTAATGTGTTATTATGAGTGTCAGTAATGATAATAATAAATGAAGAAGTAAATGTTCTGGCCAAAAAGGACTTTTAGCAACTGGATAAAAGATCCCCCCTGGCCAGGCGCCGTGGCTCACACCTATAATCCTAGCATTCTGGGAGGCCAAGGTAGGTGGATTGCCTGAGCTTAGGAGTTCAAGACCAGCCTGAGCAAGAATGACGCCTCATCTCTAAACCTAGCCGGATGTTGTGGAGGGCGCCTGTAGTCCCAGCTACTCACGAGGCTGAGGGCAAAAGGATCATTTGAGCCAATGATTTTGAGGTTGTTGTGACACTGGGACACTCTACCGAGGGCAACAAAGTAAGACTCTCTCAGAAAAACAAAAAAAAAGACCCCCTTGAATCATCTACTATGACAGAGACATGCCAGAATGGTGGCTTTATGTTCTGGATCTGGGTGGACTAGGGCAATTTACCTGTGAGATGTCTCACCTGAGGACATCTTTCTGGAATCCCTTCCTTACCACTACCTCATGGGAAGCTATAGACAGGGAAGGGTCCCACCTACGAGTATGACCTGGCCAGGAGAAACCCCCATGCTTGCTGACTCCCCTATGTCCCCCAGAAATGAACAGGTGCTCCACTTACCAACAGGGCAGCGGGATTCCCAATGAGAACAGTTGGACCAATTTCTGATGATGGGATTTGACCTAAATTTCTGAGGACAGAGTCACCTCCTTATAGGGTCATCAGTCCCTCTGGGGACAGACTCTAGACATGTGGGTTCCTCTAGGCAGCCAGGAGGGTGTCAGCTGAGACCAAACCCACAGGCCCGTCTGGCTGAGGAAGACTGGAGATAATTTTCTCCCATGTTGTTCTTCCCCTGAACCCCACCCTTTGTCTGACAGGTAACCCCCAAATGCCCTGGCTCCTGCTTCTGGCACACACACAGCCCTCATGCAGCACCAGCTGCCTTGGAGATGTCGGGGATGGTGAACATTGGTTCTGGCCAGGTTCCAGGCTGGACACCTGACACACATTATCTCCTCGAGTACTTCGAAGCAGCCTGAAAGTGGAGACTATTATTATCCTCACTTTATGAATGAGGAGGGTGGGCTTCAGAAGGCTGTAGTGGCTTGCTCAGGTCACACAGTCAGAAGCAGGGCAACAGGACCTGTGCTAAGGCTGTCCCACCCCAAAGCCACAGAGCACAGCCTTTCAGACTGAAGTTTAACTCGAGTGAACTCCCCCTCATCCTAGCGCTCAGAGTGTGTCCTCCACATCCTCAGGAGCAGAACCCCTCCTTCCTGCAATCCCGGGACAGAGCTGTGACTTTAATCACTTAGACCAAATTTGGCTTTAGTGTGGTACCGGGCCCCAGGCATAGCCCCTGTTACCCTGCCTCCCCCCCGCCCGCCTTGCTCCCTGCCCTTCTTATAAGGGCTGGGAGCTGACCCTTACTCACCTGTCCCCTACCCCCCTGCAGCAAGAAAACGACCCTACAGCACACGCTCTAGGGGGTTCTGGGGTGGGTGATGTTTCCAGTAAATGCTGGTCTGGGCAGCTCTATAAGAGCTGGGCCCCATGGCTCAGTGTCTGTGGCTCAAGTGGCTGGGGCGCCAGCCACATGCACCTAGAGTGGCGGGTTCGAATTCAGCCCGGGCCTGCCAAAACAACAATGACGGCTGCAACCAAAAAATGGCCGGGTGTTGTGGTGGGCGCCTGTGGTCCCAGCTGCTCAGGAGGCTGAGGCAGAAGACTCGCTTGAGCCCAGGAGTTGGAGGTTGCTGTGAG